AATAAAAAATATGTATTAAATTAGTTACAATGTCATGTGACCGTGGAAAATTACTCTTAAATAAGTACCACCTCTTCTGATGGGAGTAGATTAATGTAATTTTTTACTAAATAAATCATGATGTCTGCCACGATAATACTATTACGTTGTGCACCGGAAAAATTTAAAAGTAATCTTGGGTAAAAATGTATGAAAAACTGAAAAAAAATGTTTCTAAGAAAAACATCTAATTGTTACTAATATTTAATATATAATTAAAATATTAGTATATTTAATGGACTTGGACAATTTATTTAAGAAATTTAATATGACAACTACATGATATAAAACACAAATTTTAACATAAATTAAAATTATTTATTTATTACTTTAAATTATAGAGTAATAACTATAAAAGTAAATTTTAATCTGTGGTATAAATAGTTGGGGAGTTTATAAACTGCTACCCCGAATTGAATAGTAATGTGTTGAATTTCTTGCTCATCTAAATTCACAATGAAGCCGAAAATACTTTTGATGAGTAAAAAAGAGCTTTAAATTTTTGGTTGGTTTTAGTAATAAATTTAAATAACTCAATTTTTATTTTATAATATTAATTTTGTAAGTTTTTAAAATTCAAATAAATTAAGTATCATAGAAACAAGATAAAAAGTTTTGATATTATAAGTTTTACATAAAATAATGAAAATAATTGTAAAAAATATTGTATTGAAAATAATAAATTATTTTAAAAAGTTGTGATATCGTAAATAACAAAAATCGACTTTATTAATCAAATTTATAGTGGATTCATTGATTAGCTAATTAGTTATTTATGAATCATAATTTATGACGATTGTTGAAAAAAATTACTATTTTTTTCAGATTATTATCATAAAATTAATATACACACTTCATACAATTTAATAAATAATTTAATCTAACTATGTTTCTGTAATTAAGAGCAGTGCAGTAAACTAGTCATTCAAAACATAAAGATAAAATGTTACATCCAATGTTCTTAATATAGAAAACGTACGATCCCTAGGTCACTTATTTGCAGCAGTTAAAGTCATTAAAAGTAATGGCCGAATTGGATAAAATGGACCTAACTTTAAAATGACCATGTCCTTTTGGTCGATAAACTTTGAAGCCATTTAGATACTACCAAGAAGTTCCTAGAACTTATAAACAATATTTTAAAGAAAACACAAATGAATAGTATGGAGTTGAATTTTCTCTAAAATATGTTTTATTTATAATCTAAAGGACAACACTAGCTGGCATACAGTGACAACATGGTTTGCTTGTTGCCTAATGACTAAGATACCAAGGGTCACCACCACCTAAGCAAGGTGTCACACCAAGCTTGGATTGGGGTAACTTCTCTCAGATTACCTGACCATAGGTGCAATTTTATTTTAAATTTAATTCATATATTTAGTAAATTAATAGCCATAAGCTCATGTTTTGTTATTTTCAAAAATTAATACTTTATAAGGACTAAAGGACTAAAAGAAAAATTAATAAGTTAAGCTAATATGTCGTTAAGTATAAATAATTATAATACCTTGTTGTTTATTAACTACAATTATGAAAAAAAAATGTATGTTATTGATGTGTAAAATATACCGTAGCCTGTTTTTAGATTAAAGTGCGCATTAAAAAATAAGACGAACAAACAAAAACAAAAATTGTTGACGGCCCCTTATCTTAGAATTTGTGACGTATTACGTGTTTAAATAAAATAATAATACAAATGTTTTTTTTGGTTTTCTTATTTACCATAAAGTTTCTGTTCACCAAATTTTACAGTACTTAAAAAAAAATGATCCCAATCCTAATTTTCAATTAAAAACTATATAAGATTTACATATTGTAATGTAGTCCGAAAATATAATGCAGTGTCTCGAATATGAGTTTTAATAAAAATTTTAGGAATTAAGATTAAAAATTCATACTTATTTTACAATGAATTTTTTTTTTTGCAATATTTTATTTTAACATTTACAGTAAATATTTTTTAATTGTACAATAAATATGCTGCGATATATCAGCGTATGTATGTGTTAAATCAACATAAATATGGGAACTTTATTATGTGCTTATAAATCATGATTTATGATAAAAAAAATACGTGTTCAAAATAATTTTGAATAACAAAAAGTTTGTTTTTAATATCTTGATAAAATTGCTAAAATTAACAAATCACATTTGGAAAACATCTATAGGTTTTAATAAGTTTATAAAAGTAACAATTTTTATAGTTAGAGTGAAAACTAATTTAATAAGTATGATATATTTACCAATGTATTTTTTACATTAATAATCTATTGAAAAATAAAATTTTGCAACATATGTGTATTATTTAATGAGTATATTAAATAGGTGTCCACTGATTATCGACTTCAAAGCTTGAAATTAATGTTAAGCTTTACTATAGTATAAATTTACCCTACTTATATTTGAGATCATTAAAAATATTTAGATTAAGTTTATCAAACAAAACCTTACAATAAAATTCTACAGGCAAATTCGTATAAATTTATAAATTTAAGTAATTGCGGCGTCATCTGTCGGCGATTTGTAATTTATAAAAATAATACTCAATTGAGAACAATTTTATAAAAAACTTAATTTTGCACATCAACTTATTCATATATTTTTCGCTTATAGGCATTTAAAAATTTGCTGCCTTTCATTATGTTATGATGGAGGGGTCTCATTTTTATATATATTCGCCAAAACACTACTAATTCTTCCTTAAACAAAAAATGTATTTTTCAAGCAAATCTCTGTTTATTAATAAATTATAAAATAAATTACTTGTAGCTATTAATATACATATCATTAATTCAAAATGAATGAAAACGATTATGATAATTATTAGGAAGTCAATATGTTTTAACAATAATAAAAAAAATACTGGTTTTTTATAAATTTTTGGCTTTCAATATTTGCCGCCCTTTAAAATATACCGCTGTAAGTAGTTTTCTATATTGCCTGCATATAAATACGGCGCTGAACTTAATTGTTTAATTTTTATACGCTAAATTTCATTATTATTATTATTGTTGTTATCGTCATCATTATTTAAGTATATCTTATTAGTATATATTTTTTGATAAAGATCACTTTTTATAACCACACTTGTAGTGTCAACAGTAAAAAGTAAAAAATATAGTATTGATCCAATAAAATGAATTTGAATCATTTTTTAGATTTATATTAATTGATATTTGACAACGATTAAAATCACCGTCTTAAACCGCATAAATATATGTTTGAAATATATAATAATTAAATGACATGGTTTTTTTCTTAGAGGTAAATACTTACTAAGGACAGGTCACCGTAATTTTTATTTATTTAATCTTATATTACATTAAGCAAACTTCAATTAGAAATAATTTAGAATGGTTTCACTATTCTGTTACTATACAAAATATTAAAAAATCGATTAATTGTACCCAAAATTTGACAACAAGATTTCGTATAGTATTTCTTTTGTTATATTAAAGTACATTGTATTAACTTTAATTTAATGAAAATTTAAAGATGGTAGACTTTTTGGAACATTATCTAAAATTGAAAAAAAAAAATTTTTATATGATTTTTAAGGCCTCACAGTACCCTTTATTAATTATCATTATTTTCAAGAAAAACATGTCGTCAGCAAAGTAAATGTTTGAAATATTATCAATGAAATGGTTGCAAATGTCCATTTAATTGTCAAAAAATTATTTCAATATAAATTGAAAATTAAAATTATTAACATTGATAACTGTAATTTTTTGGAACATTTCTCTTTATTGCCGGTACTTAGGGTAATTTTTCAGAATTATAGCTCTGATAGTTTCAACTAGAAACATTTTATAATATATTGAAATGTCGTTGAGTAAAATTGGTTCAGTAGGATAAATAACATATCTGACACAAAAAAACACGGTAAAATAAATCTAATAGCTTCTTAGCTACGTGTCAAACAAAAATCAGAAAATACACGTATTTTCAATACAATGTGTTCATTTTGAACGCCAATATTAATAGATATTTTTCAAGTTACTTCTGTTGTGATGGATTAATTTTATTTGTTTTAAAATTTTTATATATAGAATAAACAAATTTTTCCTTTAACATGAAATTAAAAAAAACATTTTATTTTATATAATAATCATTTATTTTATAAAAATTGAAGAATTATTAAAGGAAATAAAATCTATAAAATAATTTTAGAATGCCAAACTATTTACAAAAATGTTGAATACTTTTAAAAGATCAACTTCCATATTATTTATATTTTATGTTATTAATTGATATTAAAATTATATCATAATATTATAATAATAATAAGGTATAAAAAATTTTTATAATTTATTATAGCTAAATTATTTGGTAAATGTAATTTAAATTAATATATTAATACATAAAAATAGTTCTATTAAAATTTTAAATTAACATTAATTTATTTTTTTTTTACTTTAAAAAATATGTTATTCTGACTTTAGTAAATTACTTAAACACAACTGAAGTAATATTT